GGGGGGGGTTGGAGGAATGAGCAAAAGACCCTGGAAGGGGAGTGGGGGTTAGGACATGGTGTGGTGTGCATGTAGGGGCATGGGTTATGATGCATGCTGAAAGACCTGCATGCATGCTGAAGTGGCCACACACACAACCTGAGACCCTGCATAGCTGGGGAGCAGACATGGGCAACGTCTGTTCCCAGGGCCGGGAGGGAAGAAGTGGCGGGTGGGGAGGAGGCTGGGTAGGATGAGAGGCTGAGTAACAGCCTGTCATCTCAGCTCCATCTTCTCCACTGGTCTGCTGCTGTTCACAGTCTCCTGCTGCCACAGGAGGCTGTGGAACACCCCCTGCCTCCTAGCCTGGAAAGTGCAGGGAGGTTCAGAGGCCCCGGGCCACCGAGACAGTACTGTAACTTTATAGCACTAGAAAAAGTGCTCTAAATTGTAGCGCTGTAAAATGTGCGTAGAGCATTTCTGTACACACCCATTGTTGCAGGTAAGGTGTAAGCAGCATTTATGTATGATAAAAGAACTCCTTGATTTAGAAGATAGCGATCTCTGAACAGTCTCACTTGCTGCCACATTAACTAACAGGTGAATACATAGGAGTTTTGAGCCTTGAGCTAGAAAAACATATTTAGCTAAACAAGGATTTCTACCTAAAGCTTTGGGTATAATAATATTTTTTTCCAATATATTCCTCATGTCCTAAATCCTGCAGTTAGGTTGTGCAGTCACCATTCTACCTCTACCCCAAAGGCACGTAGATCTATCTGTATGGATCCAATTGCAGGACCAGAATCTAGACATAGTAGGAATTGCTCTGATACCTTTAGATTGCTCCTTTTGTTAAACAAATGGTTTTACCTAAACAAGGTTCCACTTGGGGCTTCTACCCTGTCCTTTAATAACTAACTGGGTGTGGTGATTTAATTTTCTCGGAGGCTCTTCTGCTGTATTACTAACAGGGAGCTGTTTTTCCTCAGACTGCCAGATTGCGTTACCAGTCGTCTTCTTTATTTCTTCATCCCTTTCACCTGTGGGAGGTATAATCAAGAGTTAATATGTGTCTTCATTGTAAAGCAAAGCAATCCTCTCTTTACTAAATCCTAGCTGAGAGAAAACACAAATAGTTCTTCCCTCAACTAGTTATGCTGAGGTAAAAATGACTTATGCTTTATCTCTAGCCAAAGTTTGTGGGGAAGACTATGTTACTGGAAAAACCCTTTTTACAGTGAAGTGTAGCTAACTAATATCATGCAACGTGTGCAAGTGAAGGCCTCTAGATTTTACAGTCTTTCAGATAACCAAACTTTTAAACTTTCCTACATCCTTCTGAAGTTAAGGATTTGAAGGTGTTTTCTGTGCTTAATGCATTAATCTTGCACATCTGTAATTTTAGAGTGTTTGAATAAAAACAAAGTACAGTATTAGTCCTTGTTCAGAATGCATACACCAAGTTTCAGGTTTTAAACCATAGCTATCTTAGGCTTTTTTCAAGGTCAGGGTGGCCATCTTTTTTAATACAGCCTACAAAACTGTGGAAGAAGAAAGTGAAACTTCTCGTATTACTCTAGCAGACATTTTTGCGTTCATGAGTCTAAATGCTTTTCCTTTCACTTTTGCAATGTTTCTGGGGGTACAATAGATGAACTAAAATATATTTTGGCTATGACTAAATGCACCAGATTTGGGGTCCAGGTTGGTGTTTCCACTATTACCTGGGAATTTTTGGTCAAAGGGAAAGGTACAAATCTTCCTCTGAAGAGTCTATTACAGATTCTTCTGCATCAGTTTCTGCTCCAGTTAGCCTAGACATTGCTGCTAACTGTCTTCAGCTGATCATCTTTCACTGCCAGCCATTTGGGGATCTGTCTAAACTGAACAAATAAAACTAAGAAAAGTCTTCTGAAAAGTGATATTAATGAGCAGAATCAGTCCACTTATGAAAATGGTTTCCTATTCAAGGAAGTTCCATAGCAGAAGGAGACTGTCAATATCTCTGATATTCTATCAGAGAATATGAAGCACTAAGCAATAGTTTATTCTGGATCCCAGAAAGCAAGTGCTAATTAGAATTATCATTAGAAGTAAGCATTTGGAATATAATGGAGTAATCTCATATTGCTGAGGGGCATTAAACATGTAGCAAATGCACTCCTAGGCCACTTCCAGATGAGTGAGCATGCGCCTGTTGCGGCACCTCAAAGCAGTTTGAGATGCTGCAAGAAGCATGCCAAGAATGAAAAAATGTTCCCTGCACTGAATATTTGCAGCGCAGAGTCTAAAATTTATACCAGAAAATCCTGGTATCAAAAAATAACACGGTAGGAAAAAGTGGTGCAGGGTGCATTCCTAGAGAGTGCCCTGGAGCAACCAGAGGCTGCTACTTCCATTAGCACATGGCCAGAGTGTCTCTACGTTTGCCACATGCCCCTGCTGCTCCAGCATGCTGCCTTACCATGCTGGGGCAGATAGGAGTGGGGCAAGTCTGGCAGCGTGGATCGGACCCCAGGTTGGGTGCCGAATAAGTAGGGACATGGGGGTGAGGAGACTGTGGGTGGAGGGACTGTATGGGAGTGGACGGGACTGCTTGGGAGAGCTGATCCTCTTCACGGTGCACGGTCCTGCCTGCAGCAGCAGCTGTTGGGGCACTCATGGCCCACTTCTGGCAGAGACCCCCAACAGCGTGGCACCACCTCAGACCTAGGTGCTGCACATCCCATCTCGCTGGTGCACACCCTTGGGCAGAACCGGACCAGCTCTTTCTGTTACCTGGGCTGCTCGCACTGCATGTAGAAGCCAAGCATTATTGGGCCAAGCTGGCTTTTGCCTCCATGGAGCCATCCTGGCCTGCTGGGGTACAGGACACATGGAAGCAGGAGCTGGCCTGGGCCAATAGTGTGTGGCTTCTGCCTGCAGTGCTAGGAGCCTAGGTGAGAGATGGCCTGGTTCTGCCTGAAGACGCACACTCTATTCCATGTGTAGCTCCTGGGTCTGAGGCAGCATCATGCTGCCAGGGGTCTCTGCTAGGAGCAGGCCATGAGTACCCCAGTGGCAGCTGCTGCTGCTACAGGGGGGCCTGTGGTGCACTGTGCGGGGGGGACGGGCAGGGGACCCACCCCGCCCAAGCAGTCTCCTCACACCCACAGACTCCCCCACAATCCTCCCACAAACCCCACACTACTCCAAACCTCTGCACAAGCCCCACACTGCTCCCACAACCCCATACCCATTCCCCCACAGCCCTTTCCCCACCCTCCAACCCCACATCTCCACAGTTCCCTCTGAACTGCGTGCATGCACGATCGCACACAATAAAAATCATGCCATACAATAACTTTTTAATGCTGTTCATACAGTGACGTATCGATTGGAATGGGTGGGGAGGGGGCCATGGCCATCTCTTTAATGAGAAAATGTGGGTTTTTATATCAGAAAATATGCAATTTTTAAACAGGGAACACCAGGATTCCTGCTGGTGAGGCAAGTGGCAAGACCCAGGCCGAGAAACCTGCTCAGGGCCAGCACCAGTGACCTAACTGGAGGGCAGACAAGGTGGCTGACCTCCTGGCCATTTGGGGCCAGGAGGACATGCTTCAACAGTTCAAAGTGGGCCACTGCAATAAGCACATCTTCTGGCTGATAGCTGCCCAGATGGCAGGGCAGAGACACCAGAAGACATGACAACAGTGCTGCATGAAGGCCAGCTCTACAGCCACAGCCCACTGGCAGCTAGCCCAGAGATGCAGGCAGCTCTGCTGCAGTGTCCATACCACAGCCCAGGCAGTTGTGCGGTAGCCACCTGGGTTTGACAGGCACATAGCCCTGGGGCTGCAGGTCCAAGGGGGAAGATGCTGCCACAGGTGGCAGCAGGTCACAGCCAGGCAGCTGCCCCCACTGCCAGACTGCAGTGGGTAGAGGGTGCAGGGACCATTCTAGGTTAGGGCTGCTTCAGCAGGCCCAAGGAGTTAGTGTCCCCAGATACCAACTGACTGGGCTTCAGAAGATCCTGAGGGCAAGTAGCCCTGATCTGCTCGTCAGGGCAGCTTTTGATACTGCTGGGGCCAGCACAGGTACTGGCCCCAGCCTCTGGCTCCCCCTGGCTGAAGATCTGGGAAGAGCTGGGCAGGGTCAGTTTGCTCCAAGTGGCACAAGTTGCCCCACACCAAAGTGCATGTTCAGGCACGTGTGCTGAGGCACAAATCTCAGGCACAAATTTGTGCTGCCGCTGTTTGAGCTGCTGCAAACGCATGTGCCTGCATGTGTGGACATACCCTTAGGGTGGAATCAGAGCATACTTTTCCTTGCCTTTGTGCTGCCATAAAAAATTTTGTGGTGTTACAGAGTGAAAGCAAATAGGCATTCATACCTTTTGTTGAGCTACAAATGCCCAAATTTGTGGCTGTGACGGAAGGTAGCACCGTCCCGGGCTGCGAGATGCGACCTGAAATAATCATCACCAACGAAGAGGCCAAGAAGGTTGTGATCGTGGACGTCACCATCCCCTTCGAGAACCAGCGCCAAGCCTTCACCGATGCCCAGGCTCGCAAGCGGGAGAAGTACACCTTGCTGGTCTACACCCTGAGGGGCCACGGCTACGACGTGACAGTCGACGCACTCATCATGGGAATGCTCAGAGCCTGGGACCCCAGTCACGAGAGCATCCTGCATGCCTGCCACATCTCCCGCCGCTATGCCAAGCTGATGTGCTGCCTCATGGTGTCTGACACCATCCATTGGTCCTGTGACATCTACGTGGAACACATCGTGGGCCCCCGCTGGTACTCTGACCCCACCAGACAAGCCGCCACTAGACCAGACCCAGAGGGGACCACCTAAACGCACCAGATGGACCTTCACTTTCAAGAGGATTCTTCAACCACGGACAACCCCGCTCCACCCGAAGAGGACCCCCACAATGAGACTCTATATGGACTGAGACACCTCCTTCGAACCACTTCCTCCACCATTGCAGACCATTGTAACAGGTTTGTGTGCATCTATCTCCTCTTTTTCTCTCAGTGTCGCAATCCCCCTCCTTCCCCTTCCTCTTATCCCCCACCCCCCCCGGCTTAGTTGGCTAACATTGTATCTCCTGTAACCTCGTTGCGTTCCCCTCCTCACCCCCATCCCTCTATTGTTAGTCCCTCGCTCGGGCAATCTGTATTTCCCTACCGGCTTTGTCATCTTTTTTAGATTCCCAATCCTAAAGATTTACTGATAATTTCTGCCACTTTATTGAGGCAGATGTCTTTTTGTTTTATAGAGGGATAGCACGGGTAGCCAAGAGCTACCCAAGCTCTCCAGTTGCTCTGGGCAGGGGCTTGAGGGGCCCAATCCTGGGCACTACAGAAATTCCTGAGCAGGATTGGGCACCTCAGGCCATGGGAGTGCCTGTCCAGCTTTCCCCACTTACCCGGATGCAGGGTGCAGTTGGGTAAGTGGTGAAAGCCAGACAGGCTCTCCCAGGGCTTGAGGGGCCAGTTCCTGCATGGGGATTCCCAGGGTGCGTATAAGCAGGGCTCTCAAGTCCCAGGAGAACAATTTGCCTGTTGTCATGCGCATTGATGCTGCAGGACAATAAGCAACATTCACTTTGCCCAATTGAATGGGTCACGGACAGCTGATCCATCCTGGCACAGCTGATTCACTTCATTTGGCAGTGTCTATTTCTAGTCTTAGTTTTTTGCATCCTAGAACAGCCCAATGGAAGGTGAAGCAAGGAACAGGGAAAGGAGACCATCCAGCAGGATATTTAGACCAAAGGGTAATGAGATGGTTCCCTAGCAAAGTCATTTTAATTTGTGTGTATATGTTAGCGAAGGAGAGGTATGTGAAAGAAACACTGTTCTCTTCTGCTTTCACTTTGTGGGCCTTAAGACTTTTGTAAAGTGCAGAGTTGGGGATGAGGTCATAACATTGTACTTCTGATTCTCTTTAAAACATGGTTATTTATAACTATAAGATGAAAGTGTATTTAGCAAGAATTCTAAGTATGGGTATAAATATATAATATGTTTTTAAACGTTCTGTTCAGCTAGTGTTGCTGCTGTTATACATTCCAGATGGTCTCCCAAGTAATTATTTTTTTTTCTACGTAGGAGCTGCAGCAGGTATGTATTGGAAAACAAAATAAAATATATGCAAATAATCCACATAAACATGCATCTAAGTAATTTTTAATAAGCATATAATCTGAACCAGAATTATTTCTATACCTCTTATCTACATATTTGCCAAATTTGCTTCTGATTACATCAGAACTCTATTATTCTGCCTCAGCAGTTGTCAAGGCTTTGATTGCCTTAGTATTCTTAGTGCCCTTTTCTAAATTGGGATATAAACATGTTAGAATGTGGTAATTTATACGAGATGATTAATTCTGTCTGAAAGTTTAGTGTAGAACATGCTGAGGTAAAGTGTCGGCCTTCCCTAGGCTTTAACTA